TGCAGACACGTGATTGAACAAAAAGAGTCAAGCCCTGTGTGTTCAGAGTCTTCTTAGTCTCTCAGTTGATATTTCTTCCTCCTGGGTAGGGAGCAGGATCCTTCTGGAATGAGGCTTTTAATTTCTTTATAGTAGCTTTTGCACAGAAAGGCAGAGTAGTACATTTAGACCTTATGGCTGGCTTTGGTGAAAGGGGCTTCTAGTTTCTGTGACCTAACATGGGGGAGAGGAATTCTAGTTTCTATAACCTTCCTTGTGTAAGAATGAGGAGCGAGAGAAGGTGGGACAAGAGAAGGCCAGAGAGAAGCTGCTTCTGAGGTCTTCATTTTAGGGTATTGCCTTCTGAACCCCAATGCCAACTCTCACAGTTAAATTATGTGCTTAACAAAATTAAGTGGTATTTGTTCTCAAACTGGTTTATAATTTTGGACTTACTATTATATTATCATTTATAATACTGTAATTTAATTAAATATGATAAACAATGAAATATGAGTGTGAGAAAATTTCTACTGTGGAAACTAAATTAAATGCTTTAGAAAGAGTCAATAATAGAGAGTAGCTAAAAAGAAGCAAAAGAATGAGGTTTGGACAAGGTGAACATGAAATATTTGGAAGAAAATCATAAAGATCTAGAGGATTTTGCATTTTAATTTCTTCACAAGAGCCTTTTATTTTTTAGATCACTAAAATAAACCAAACATAGGGAACCAGCAGTTAGCGTAATGGCTATGTCGCTGGACTCCCACGTAGTCGACCGCGGTTCGTGTCCTGTACCCGGTGGCTTAAAACTCACGCCGGGCGCGTATGCGTGCGTGCCCAAGATCCCGAGAGGAGAATGGAGAAGGGATTGCGGCGTGACCATCCCCCCTGGGGGGTGATTTCTCGCTTTCTGTCTCTATGTCTCTCTCTGTCTGGCGAGCGCACGCGCCCTACAGTGAAAATCTCTCCAAAAAAAAAAATAAATAAATAAACCAAACATAGAAATTTTAGGTGAGATAGTGTGGATAAGATTTAGGCGAAAAGATAAAAGAAAAACTCAAATGAATAAACCCTATTCAAAATATTTTTTATACAAAAAACATGGATTTAAATGAAGAATTTATGAAAATATTATGCATTCTACAATAACTTGATACTAAAACATCTGTTATTGCCAATGGTAGCAAACGAAGAAATGGGGTGATGGTGTCACTCATACTATGGGTAGAAGAACTAGGTAATTAATCCTCCAACTTGGGACACTTTTTTTTTTTTTTTTGTGGCTGTGTGAGCATGTGCATATATAAGAGACAGAGGGAGAACTCTCAACAGAATTTTGTCATGTTGCTATTCCCTTTCTTAAGCCCTCTAGCTCTTCAGGATCTTCAGTGTCCATGCACATTCATGTTTTCAGGCTGACCTAGGGATCTGAACCTGGGGTGGGCCTGTGGTTTCAAGCACTGCAATTGGAGAGGCCATGCACTATATTGGCAGGCCAGGCCTGGCCAGTTCTGAGAGTGAAAAGAGGTACTATTTATAATGATACTGGGTCAACAGGCATAAACTGGTAGGATTTCTGAAAAATCAGGGTGTTCTGTCACCCTTCAACAGAAGACAGGATCAGAATCCCAAGCCATTTAAATACACAGGCACAGCAGATGCATTTAACCAGAATGAAGTCTAACAGAGCTGAGTGCCAAACATTAAACAGGAAAGAAACAAGACTGCATGAGTATGAGCAGAGGCTCTACCTGCCCAGAGATAGTCTAGGGTGGGTGGGGTGCTCTCATAGCCAGGCTGGCTGAGAACAGCAAAAGCTGACAACTCTCTGTACTAAGCAAAGGAAGGACACAGGACACAAGAAGTCTGGCTCCCAGCCCAGGAGCTTTTGTCCCTTTCTTCACTGACTGCAGGTTGTTCCCTTAGATCATGTCACATCACGGAGACACTCCAAACTGCTCTGCAAAGCCAGGAGAAGGATTGGTATTCGAGGCTTACCATACTTAACTAGACATTGAAGTGGACAGTCCTAATCCTCCTTCTTGTCTCCCCAATATCCAGGCCCCTGTAGCACATTGGTTCAACTGTTGTAAGAATGACTTGATTATCTGAATTCACCAGTTTTGGAAAAGACCAGGCATAATAGTCCTTAAAATCACTCCAGGAGGGTCTATTATTCAGGTGGGGTTGAGTGCTACTGTTACAGAGTGACCCTGACAACAATGAGGAAGACCATGACTGCCTCCCAGGGTAGGCCCTCAGACTGGGTCAAAGTACAATAAGGGCTTTCATTTGCAGAAAAGAAAAACAGGCCTAAGTAAACAATGGAAGCAATTTGTTTATTTTGTTACACTTATGTATGCCCCCGCCTCATTCCATATAGGATTTCCAGGGGTGGGAGGCCGGGACTAATGCAGGTGATTGGACAAGTGAAGGAAAGTCCTTGTTTGTGATGAGACTTGGTCACAGAGGCATGTATGTGTCAGACAAACAATGTCCCTGGTGTGTCCTCAATGACTCACACTCCAGTCACACCCAGATCTGAAAACTCTTCTAACAGTAACACGTTTCATGATGGAAATGAACTGAATGCAGTCCAACAGGAACCCCAGAAATGGGACCTGGACCTGAGCTCTTCTGTTTTGGCCAAGGAACTCAATTAGTAGCATTTCCAGGTGAGCCTGGGCTGGCAAATGCTGCCAAGCATAATGGAAAGGACAAGGTATACAGAGAGACCCAAAGCTGGAATCCTAAAACTTGAAGTTTGGAAAGTGTATAACATATTTGAATATTTAGAATAAACAAGTATGCAGCGGAAAGGCTAGTAGACTGCTGGTGAGTGACAGAAGTTCAGTGGCTACAGCAGTGATTTCTTTGCTAGTGATTTTTTTTTTTAATTAGTAAATATTATCCTCAGAGGATTATACCTAAGGAGATTTAGAAGATTTTTAAGAGGCCAGCATTTGCAGTACCCTAACAAATGGTAGGGTGCTCATTGGTTCCTTAACCCTTAATAGTTGAGACACCAGAGCTGCCTGTCTTCTAAACCCTTTAACAAACTGATGCAACCAATTCAAGTGCTAGGAGCTGCTGGCACAGTTTACTTCCTGGAGACACTTAAGACTGAGCTGCTCGGGTTTTTCAGAGCAGTGTCCTACTCCCAGCCTTTCATGCACCTGGCGTAGCCTTGTCTGGGGCATCTTCACTTCCTGAGGTCGGCTGTCCCTCTCGCAGCTGCTCCCCCAACCCATGATGTTTGGGACCTCAAGAACAATTGGATCATTACCTCTTCAACCGCTTTCTGACAAAAGCTTTTGGTAACCTCTCTTCTGCAAATGGCCTCTCTCTGGTTCTCTGTGTCATTGGGGTTTCTACTTTTCTTCCTTCCTCCTTTTCACTTTCATTTTTTGAAGGGGTGGGGTGGGGTGAATAACCACATATGGATAATCTTCCATTTTTAAGAGGAAAGATTCGGATGTATATTGTGGTCCTTTACCATTTTAATAAAGCTCTTTTAAAAGAGGGAGAGCACTCTCCACTTAAAACTATTTTGTAGTAGTACACAGTATATACATGTCACAGAAACCTTGGGCACAGGGATGCCATCCTTTTATTTCTAAACCCACCTGGCTGTAACTTAATCATATTAATTTAAAATACTACTCCAGTTTCAAAATGTCCACATAAACTAAAAGGACTTTGCATTTGGAAAGAAGGCACATGAACACATTTGTCCCTTTTTTCTACCTGAGTTCTCTTATTTTCTAAATTCCACAGAGATCTTTGTATTAGTTAAGATATTGACTCTTGGGACCAGCAGATGGTGTAATGTTTATGTTGCTGGACTCCCATATAGTCAGCTGTGGTTCAAGTCCCGTACCTAGATGCGTAAAACTCACACCAGGTGCACGTGCATGTGTGCCCAAAATCCTGAGAGGAGAATGGAGAAGAAGGGATTGCTGCATGGCCATCCTCCCTGGGGGTGTGTGTGATTTCTTGCTTTCTGTCTTTCTGGCAAGTGCATACACCCTATGGCAAAACTCTGTCTAGTCTAAAAATTGTGAATTCCCCATCAAAGCCCACCATGGTGCTTGAACTTCTGTGATATCAGTCCCTGATCATCTGTGGGCTGCTTTAAAGAAGATGATGCTATCTGAGATTATGAAGAGGGAGTCAGGGCAGAGCCTTCAACTCAGGCATCGAACACATTTTTAAACTCTCTTATTTCTTCTACTTTTCAAGCAATCATATTAATTTCTCTTCATCTTTTTTTCCACAACTTGAGCCCAAAATTAGCCACTTTAAAAACTGACAACATTGGGAACCAGCAGTTAGCGTAATGGCTATGTCGCTGGACTCCCACGTAGTCGACCGCGGTTCGCGTCCCGGACCCGGTGGCTTAAAACTCACGCCGGGCGTGTGTGCGAGCGTGCCCAAGATCCCGAGAGGAGAATGGAGGAGAAGGGATTGCGGCGTGACCATCCCCCCTGGGGGGTGATTTCTCGCTTTCTGTCTCTCTGTCTCTCTCTGTCTGTCTGGCGAGCGCACGCGCCCTATAGTGAAAACCTCTCAAAAAAAATAAAATAAATAACTGACACCACTTACAGAGCAGTTCAATATGTCTTGTCCTTTTTTTGTTACTGTGATTATCTCATCACCTACGTAAGAAACTATATAATCTCCTGATTGGGTGGGTATCAGTGAGACAGGGCCAAAGAAAGATTAATTATTTTGCCTGATGCCAGCTCATGAATCCATGACCAACAAAGTAGATCGTATTGCCTTCCACTCCCTCCTTGGGATAGTTAGACATCCACTGGCCTACAGCAATTACAGACCCGAACTACTTCCCTTCCACAGGGCACTTATTCAAATTTACCTTTGAAGCCCTATGAATTTGTAATTCCACTTGCATTTAATTGTAGCAACATTTAATCCTTTTCAGTGTCTCTGGTTTATTTGTGTGAGGACCCTCAGAGGCTGCTCAGGCAATCCTCTCTCCTCTTCTTCACCTCTAGCACAAAGCAGCCCCAAAGAAATACGCACAGTTCAGTGCTGATGTGGCCGAGGCCATGGCCTTCTTTGATTCCATCATTGCAGAGCTGGACACAGAGAGACGACCTCGGGTCGCTGACTCTGACCCACCAAATGAAGATGTGGACTTTCATGGTGAGTACCCAGAGAGGCACCAGGAAAATGATGGCCCAGGGTGGGTGGGGCTGTGCTACTGTGAGAAAGGTCAGAGACTCGGGAGTAGACTAAGAGAGGCTGTCTGGACTCCCACATCTCTGGTTAAAGAGAAGCCAGTAATGCAAGCTGGAACCTGGCCCCTGAGCTGGTTCTCTTCGGGGACCTTTTGCTTTAGTTGTCCCTGCTGCGTTGACTCCAGAGCATCCCTTCAACATTCTAGAGCCATACTGGACAAAATCTCTGCCACAATGGTGCAATTACCACATCGAGACAGAGTAGAACTTCCCTAAGACTCCATAAAGGAAAGCATCTTTGAAAAGAGAATTGATGGGGGAGTGTTGTCTAAAGGGTACAGTTTCAGTTTTGCAAGATGAAAAGGTTCTACATGTTGCTTGCACAACAATGTGAATATATATTCTACACTGTTTAATTGTACACTTAAAAATGGTTATGACAGTAAATGTTATGCTATATACATTTCACCTTAATTTTAAAAAGAACCCTTGAAAATCCAACTTCTGACCCTACCTGAGCTAGCCTGTGAGCTGATATACAGGGCAGGAGAGGTCCTGCCTGGATTGTTAGAGAGAGACCGAGGGGGAAGACTGAGGCCATGCTTCTCTCCTTACCAATGTAGATCACTGGCGGAGAGAGAGTCCGAACATGTTCATACGTTGAGCCCATTTTAAAATTCTATCCCTTGGCAGTTTCTTTCATCTTTGAGTTGTCCTCAAATTTTTTGAAGTTTATTTTTATGTATATTTTACATGAGAGAGGAAGATAAAGAGAGAGACAGGCACCTCCAACAGGGTCTTCCACCCCCTGATGCACTCCCAGTCTCTGTCGGCTCTGACCACAGGTGTGTGCATGTGCCTCACGTACTCAGAGAGGTCTGAGTGTGAACCCTAGACCTTTCCCATGCAGGTCCAATTGTGTTGCCCTTGCACACCACCGGGTACTTCTCTATGTACACTTTAATGATGATTTTAGTCAGGTGTTACTAGCTTCTGTATACTAACGGACAGCTTTTGGTACCAATGGTAAATCATATTTTTTAGAGGTTTTTTTGACTTAAGGCATGGGTA